ATGTCATTATCTGCATGCCTCGTTTTTATATTTATATCGTTACTAGCTCGCATACAAACGCGCATGAATGTTTGCAATGCATTGCTTGTATCAGCCACCGATAAGAGGCCTTGGCATTTTTTTTTATTTTATCAATTTGCACAATGGGATGTGTTTCAACTTGTCGAGAAGGCTAAGGCAATAGGTCACTTTATACATAGTTCGTCATATTTAACACAAAGTTATGATTCGTAGGTCCACCGATATTAACACATTGTTGTGTTGATGAATATTGTGATTTGTTCTGGAACGCCTTAGCCCTAAAGATTCCATTGAGGAAGGTGCTTCATTGCGATGTTTGGCCAATTTCATCGATACGTGTTTTGGCATGCAGGGCCCACGGAGAGAATCCCATGCATCCGAAGGGGCAACGCTTAAAAGTTCTGCACAGATATATTCAAGAATCCATTGTACTGCCATCTCGTGGTCAAGTCGCAACTTGCAGTTTTGTATGCAAATCTATCTCGTTGTATATACAGTTAGTCGGCGAATGTCCCGTGGGCGGATTTTCCGGGTTGCAGTTTAAGCGCTCTTGCAATAAAGTCGATCTTTACGCTGCTCCTCTCTCATCGAGGGCCAGTGACCCAGTACCCGTGTGACTGTAAACATGTTGCCAAGTAAACCAATTATGACCGAATTTACATATGTTTGTGATTTGTTTTAGCCGCCCACCCCACCCGCCAACATTATGCCAGACTGAAGAGATTCGACGCGGAGAGTGTATCGGACAGAACTGGACGTTTGCTCGGCCATGAGGTGCTACATAAACAAAATTGGTGAAGTTGACACGTGGTTGCTCGCTGGCTTGGCACGTGTTCTTGTGCTGAGTGGTCACTGCTCAGTGAACCACGTTCCCCGTTCCTTGTGGTTTGACCCAGTTGTCATTCAGATCTTCCACGTACGGCTTAGTGCTCGCAGCGTACCAAGCAGTGTACACGGCTAGACCCACGTAGAAAACGCTACTTGTATACGTAACTTGTTATTTGTTTGGCCAGATAGTACACTATGTGTGTTTGTGTTTACGTACCAGCCATATATTTATCTCGTGTCCGGTTTCTTTGTTTTTCTGCACTGTGATGCAGGTGTGTGGGGCTATTGTTATTCGTACTCATTAACTTGACATCCTGCCCTTGTTAAGCCACTACTTGGTGAAGGCCTCTCCATGTCATGTCGGTCACGGGGCTTGTTTGCCCATACTTAACCATGCTGGTCATTGTAGTTTGGTGAAGGGTTAAAGAGGCCCACGTTCGAGATCACTCGCCACTGACGGTAGCCTTGACCGGGAAATCAAAGCTCGGTTTCCGGGTTCATAGCGTGTTGTGCTTGCCAATGCACCACCTCTCCACCCTTGAAGTTTTGGGCAGTGCTAACTGTGAATTACAATATTCAAGTATTCTGGAGCCTAGACAGATCATGATTGAGATGGCTAGACTTATTTTATAGTTAATTGTTTACAAAATGTATAAATCACAGGGGATTTTACTTGTCATACATGCCGTTGTATTAATCAATTATTGAATGTCCATGAGAGAAAAGTTGGCAAAGCAGTATTTGCCCTCTCGTAAGATCAAAAGTTAATATCCTGGTCAATCTCAATCATACTCCTATATTATTTACCTGATAAGACCTCACGGAGTCAATGATATATTTTAAGGAGGGTAGTGCATTGGGATGTTTGGCAATTTACATTTTAAGGGTGTGTGTTTTGTGAATGTGATCATCCCCATTACTCCTGATATGTTTGAGGTTGATAAGTTGAAAATACGTATTGGGAAGGCGGAAGTGGTTGTTGTAGTATTTATGGTATAACTTTTGACCACTGGCTTGGAATGAAAAATTGACATTGGTGAATGGGCAACCTTTGTGTCGTTGCAATGTTGGATGAGGGCCTTGCCACACCGTGTGGGCCATGAAGGCAAGGCTCTGACTTTCACTATGCTGGTCGGTGAAGGTGGGAGACCATGCATGTGGGAGCATGAAAAGTATCAATAGTACAATGATGTATTTTGTTGCATTAACCTCTATCGCCCATCACTTAACCCTCTGCAAGCCCTATTACCATCTGTTTGTGTGCGGTGTTTGCATTTCTCATGATTTAATATCCTCATAATAATGATAATTATCTTTTTTACAGGAAAGCTTTTAATCCGAATACTTTTCCATGAACTTCTTGCATTTGGGGGTTTGAGCAATTCCTATTTAACAAGTGTTTTGTGTGTGGCAGTAATCTGGAGTATCTGGAGAAAACCCTGGGATAATATTTCAAGCTCTCCAGAGATGGGATCTTGAACCCACTTCCTGTACTACTATCTCGTGGTCACTGCAGCTGTAGGTTTTGGAAGTGTTCAAAATCCACGTGATCCACAATTCCTTGCCTCCAAAACCGCTGGATCACAAGGCGTGTGTGCACCACGCCCAGCTGTAATGATCTTGATTCCCATGCTTATGTAACCAAGTGGTTAGCCAGTGGTGTGTGCGGTTTTATTGTCTGTATTGAAGTCCTCGATTTTACTTGAACTGACTTGAAAACTAGTTCAGGGATGTCGCTTTCCAGGTCGTACCCTGATGGGACGATTGAAGCTTTGCTAACTGAATTTGAGTACAGGACAGGATGTTTCTTCACCTCATTGCATATATAGTAACTCAACTGTCATGTAATTGGTGATTAGATTCATACAGATTTAATGAAGATAAGTATGTGAGGACATTGAGCCATATTGTTCCAACATGGTCTCTTGTTCAGTCCAAGGAGGTTCTGTTGGAGTGGAGCAGTGGCACGTGAATTGCACCATGAAACCAGTGACAGTTTCATTCCCGTCCATGGCAAAACATCAACAGCAAGTGGTATTTGAACTGGTACAGGGACCTCCCCTTTGTCAACCTGCACTGACCATGTGTGGTTGAGTATGGTACTAAAAACCCACGTCCATCACAGAGCGGGGAGGCCTTCATCCAGTAGTAGATTGAAAATAGGCAGATCATTATTATTCTTTTCATAAGCTGTTGATGGCAGTCTTAGATGAAGTGATTAATTCGATATTAAACTTTTGGTGTTTTAACATCTTAGCACCTGTTTTGTTGCCAGATAATAGTAGAAAAAACCTATTATGATATTAAACTTTTCCGGAGTTTTGAGTTTGAACGATCGTTTTTAATGTTCGCCCTTCACCTCACCGGCAACACTTCTATTGTACTATAATACAGATTTTTGTTTTGGTATTTTAAAGATAAAAATTCCGTGCTGTAATCTGGTATATATATGCACAAGTGTGTGCAGGATTCATAATTGTATGAAGGCACATTTATGGATTGTTCTTTTTGTAAATTGACTAAATGTTGTTATATGCGTGTCTTGAGAAAATACGCGTAAAAACATTTTTGGGGTTTCCCATTTCCGCGTTCTTTGTGCTTTCTGGAAATTCCACATTCTTATGAGAACTAGTCTATCCCTACAGAATAGACGCGCACACGCTTGTGCATTCTTACATGGGTCATAGCTATTCGCCGTGTGTGGGAGACACGGAGATAACTGCCCACTGGCCAGGTGTCATAATGGTGGTCTCTAATGTGAACAACCTTTGCCATGCATCGTACAGTGTATTGGGGGGAGCCGTCGGGCAAGATTTACCCCCCTCCATCTCACTTGCACACACTTCCCCTCCTCCCGTATGTACTCGCTCACACCCAGCCATCCAGGCAGCCCTCTCTCCACCCGCCCCCCCGTGCGCATTCGTAGCCCTCTTGAAAGAAAACTATTTTTAAGCCCAATGATGCCCATGTGACTCACACCGCTGACGTCAGCCGCGAGCAGTGTGTGCTGGGTTCAGCCCACGTGACGTACGCACGCGTGCGTGTGTTTGTGCCCATGCCTCCGTCAAGGGCCTTCTTCTAGCCGCTTTGCCCCGAACGGCACGGCGGTGACGGCGGCGTGTGCATTCTCGTGTGTGCATCATAAATGGTACCGGACGCCCGCGTGTAAAACCGCACGAATGGCATTCGGTGTTGGACTCTGGGTGAGTCAGGATCGTGACGCTGTCGTTACGTATTTGCCTTACGCCCTTGTTGGTGCGTGTGGGTCTGGTTTCGGCACTTGTCACGCTGATGCAGTTCATCAACCTTGTTTGTCCCTAATGGTGTTTTGATTATGCTTTGACATTGATTTGATTGTCATGTTTTTATTTCTGTATTGTACTGTTTTAATTTAATGGTGTGTTCAAAATAGTGGCAGTGCTGCTGCTGCTGCACAGATTAGCTGTGGGGATGGGGCTGAATTTTAACACAATGTGGCCATTGTGTTAGTTTCTAACGTGGCTTTCCTATCTATTCGGATGAATGTCCTTGATTTTATCTAGGAGATATACCATTCAGAAATATCTATTTCAATGCAGAGCTTGCAGAACCCAGCTACCATGGTTGTTTATAGGAACAGTTGTTTACTTTTTGGGGATTGGGTCAACATACTGCTGCACAATAGACTACACTAAACAGGTATGATGTTTTTTTGGGTCATATACACAAACGTGCAACAGACTTGATAGCTAGCAGACTGCATGTGTTCGTAATCCAGCACAGAAGTGTTTGACTGTGGTGACAACTGGACTGTTAGTTCATTTGTTAAACTGGCTTACGGTTGAGTGATGTGACCACTGAGCTGTCCAGCGCTTGAGAAGATCTCCGCTTGCTGTTGACGTCCCACCTGAGTACCTATCCCATAACGACCGAGCCTTGTCCTCCACCAGGCACAGGTGTGACTGGTGTGTGCATCCTGCGTGATGTAGATACAGTAGGGAATGGGAATTCTAGACTGGAATGGTGACGAGTGAGATTATAGAATGAGAAAGATTTTTTCCGTTCTCATTGTTGTGTTCTCATTTCTTTATATTACATTTTATATCTTTCTCATTCTATACTCTCAGCACAGAGCACAGGTGTGACTGCCATGTGTTCTGTGTGCGTGGTAGGTGGATGATGGAGGCAGCAGAACCTACACAGGAAGTGAAGTCACAGGTATGTTACTAAGCTGGGATTGGTGGCGCATGCCTAACGCAATGCTTCGGAGGCAGGGGCTGGTGGATGATCACACTGACTGACAACCTGCAAGACAAATATGCTGACTTTCTTTACGGCATCTTGAGTTGTGGTCACATTTGATGTTATCAAAACCAATTTAGATTGTATGCGTAGAACCTCAACTTTTTGGGCTGCAAGGTGGCCACAATAGTTGCCAGTATAGCAAATGGATGTTCTGTTCATCTGTGCGCACCTTTTCAGTATTACCTCCTCGTATATTTGGTGGGTTTTCTCTGGGTTCTCCAATTTTCTCCTGCTTGCAAAACACTTGTTGACAAATAATTGGTCAAACGTCACAATGCAGGATCATTCCGAAAAGGAGTTTTGAGCCTCTGGCGAGGCTTTCCCGGATAAACAAATGACATTGCATTACCTCCTACGCCATCAGCGGCACATGTGAAGAGCTAGTATTGTGAGTGATGTTATAAACGGATCATGTCACAAGTTCAGGAATAGACTTTGGATAAATATTGTGTTAGGTGGCTTTCACCATGGTAATGTGGAATTTCCATCAACCGGCATGACAGCCTGTGAAGGATGAGTTCTCCCTCGATGCTTGTTCAATCAGGAGCCACCTTTGATTTTTGAGCGTAGAATAACGGAAGTTTCATGAGCCAGCATTATTGAGGTGCTAGGTTTGGATCCATATTCTGTGTTGGTAGACTGTAGGCAGGAGTGGGTAGTTGGCTGTTGACTATAGCGAGAGGATGTGGTCTACCGGCTGCAGATTCAATGTTCCAGGTCGTCGATCTGTCTCAAATGATGCTCTTGCCCACACGTGACGATTAAACCAGGAGTCCTCCGTTGTAGAGAGTTGATGATGTCAGCCTCGTCACCAACAACTGCATAACAACCATCGTATAACTTGTGGTCTGTTGCAGCACACGTGATTAAAACACGTTGGTTTCACTTGATAACCTTGTGGAGGGCATATAAAAAGGGTTACCATGAGTGTGAATGAAGTGACTTGAAGTGACGTCAAAAAATAGTTACGTTACCTTCCGAGGGCGATCTCGGATACAGGCTTGGCGCGCACTGCACGTTGGGAGTTCTGATGGCAGCACAGTTGTAATGCTATTTGAACAAACGAACGCCATAAATAACAAGTTTGTTCGTCGCACATTGAGTGAGTGTTCCGTCATCGACTTTCCGAGAAGCGTGTTTAAATTTGCACCACCGTCCCAAGCAGATCAGTATCACTGGTGGCGATGCGCATTGAGTTCTTCCATGCGAGCTCTGCGGGCACCCAGTTTGCACAGACCAAGTTGCCTTTGTACGTTTAGCGCCAGACGTGCGCCCTTTACTGATGCCTTAATGTACAAGATGCCTCATTAATGTTGGTGCTGCTATGGTATTATGACTACAGTGGTTATGGTTTGTTGGTGATGGAGGGGGGGGGAATGGTGCCACGGTGGTTTGCACATCGCGCTGTGAACCCAACAACCTAGTGCATGATGTATGACCTCGTGTGAGGCACCGCCTTCATTAACCTGCACTGGCCAACGTGGTGAAGTGTAGTCGTACAATCCCCCATGACCGCCGGGGCTTGTAGGTCATCATCCACAAGTGGATTATTGACAAAAGATCGTAGAACAATGATGGTGTGTGTATATACTTCATTATCGTGGAATATTTTGTCGCGCCTCGACCTTCCTGTGACAGAAATAAGAGTGAAGAATAAACACCGTTCAGGCAAATTGGCCCGAGACGTGAGAATGTTAAACACGAGCGATGTTTACCACAAGGGGTTTGATCCAGGAATGGTGGTAGCGGACGCTTGTGATCCAATGCCTTGGAGGTGGGTGGGGTTGGTAGATGTTGTCACGTTTAGGCATCCCCAACCTGCAGGGCACCGAGGTAGCCAGTAGATGGCCGTAGAGTAAGTAGGTTGTTGTGTTTTGAGTGTTGCTGTATTTGAGTGTTACATTCCGTTGCGTGGGTTTTCTCCAGGCTCTTCTTTTCTCCCACACACAGAAATTCTCAAACAATTGTGCAGACATCCCAAGCACAGGACCCCACTGAAAAAAGTCTTGATACTCAGTGAGGATATCCTGGGTAACTAAAAAGCTGTTTCTATTATCACATACGCGGGCAACCTTCTCCCCCCAGCTCCTTCCCCATCTGACTGTCCCGCATTCTCCCGATCTTTAATTCTCACGTCCCTTGTCCTCTGCCGCCAGGCTGTGTCGGGTCCTGAGGTGACGGTCGTCCACCTGCCCGGAGGTCAGGAGGTGCAGGTACCAACGGTGATCCAGAACGCGCAGCCGTCCGTCATTCAGCCCCCGCAGATGCAAACGGTGCAGGTACGATTCACACGGGATGTTGCCGGTGGTGCGACACGGTGGCCAATTGCCGTCGTTCAAGCTGGGATGAAAATTGTAATGGATTACTTTGGTTTGGCCTCTTTAAAAATGACAGCCACCCTGACAACTTGCCTCCTGAAACACCCTTCAAACCACGCGCAGCGTGACGTGGCTGATGATGCCGATAACGACACCAATTTACCGCAGATATAGAACCAATAACAGTGGAGTCATAGATTAATTTAATTAATTGTATAGCCTAGCTCTAATAATTTATCATCAACCACGAATCAATCTACTGAGCAGAATGAAGGCATCCCCTCGTGTCAACTCTGCTTTAAATGAGCACCTGGTTCATTCTGTAAACATCAGCAATGGGGAAACGAGTCCAACGAAGCATGGTGCTGCCAACGCCCCAGCACGACTTGTGTTGGCCTTAATAGTTGATCGCTAACACTCATTGCAGTTTTTTAGGCTATACTAAAGTGGGATTCTTTGTACGCGTGTGTATTTATCGAGTGGTGGTATAGTGGTTCGCACACTACGCTATGAAATCGGTGACCCGAGTTTGATTTCCGCTTATGGACAACATCGGTGACCAATATCTGAACTGGTCCTGGGCCTCCCCTAGGACGGCTCAGCCTTACGTATTTGCTGCGCTGTGTAACCATCATCACTGGGGGGAACAAAGGCGGCTGGGCATGGTGCTGGCCACCCACCCTCTCGTATGGCGTGCCGGCCATCATAGCTGCTCGCTAACAGCACCTGCCCCAAAAGTTTGTGCAAAACGAGAGATCTTTGTCTTTATTTGTTATTATTGAGCACAGGTGGCACATCTGCCAGTTATTTCAGTTAACTCCTAAAATCTTGATCTGCCCTGTCTTGGCTCAAACGCCATGGTGGCGTCACAATCCCCTAGTGGTGGATGGCGGCAGCTGTTGCTGATTTTATTTTTTACTGCTTGACCATTAAATCTGGTTTGGAATTGATTTGTTTCGTTATTTGACGGTGCTATTAGGTGGCAGTCGCAACAGAGACCGACAACTCCAAGGAGGGCGCGCAGAACGCATTGGAGTTGCGCAAGCGCAAGGAGTTGCTCGCGCGACGCCCCTCGTTCAGGTGTGTGTCAAACTGACCATGGGCTGGCAGATTCCAGTTCCCAGCAGGGCCAGGGTCATTTACAATCATGTTCGCATCAGTGGGAATATATTGTAAGAATTTTTTAATGGAATTTATGATTTCGGCAAAAGACGCTGCTGTAATTTTACTTATATAATTGACCGTAGGTCCAGTTACTATTGTTCATAAGGCAACTGTGATCCGGTTGAAATGCAGTTTGGAGTTCTTGATTAGGTCTTAGGCTCAGGATTGTAAGCAGACTTCAGCATTTTCTTGCTGTGGTTGTTCCACCTGATGAAGATTGCTTGTGTTGCGATCGAAACGTCGTGATTTTATTTTGTTTTATTTCTACCTACGTGACTTTACCGAAAGAACCAAAGAGTACAGACGATGAATTTCGCACAATGTGTAGTGGGAAACCACTTGGCTTGACTTTGCACCCTGGCGGTATCGAGATGCCCGCACAGTGACGATGATCTTTAATAGCGGTAAAACCCGCACTAAACATTTGGAACTCGCTCCTGTTTTCTAAAACAAATTTGACACGATCCATCTTCAGCCATGCTCAATCCCCTGCTAAATGAAGGCTTCCCCCTGCCATCACTGTCTTTGACCTGCGAGCGATGTAACAAACCACTTGGTATCTGCACGAGCCGATTTCAATGTTCCGCCTCCGCGGTTTGTGGGATTCAACGATATATATAAAACGCTACTTGACCAAACGATTAAGTTTTACGTGGAGCCATTTCTCCCCCACCACCGTCTTCCACAGGAAAATTTTCAACGAGATTTCAGCCGACGCAACAAACGTGGCTTCCACACTGGAGGAAAAGAGCGAGGAGGAGGGGGAGGGGGAGACCCAGGCCAACTCGGCTGGTGGAACCCAAATCTCCTCCATCTTCCAAACCTCCGGGGGCCAGTACAGTACGACTCGCACTTGCACAAACACCCGCCACTGTAGCCTTTAACAGACAGTTCGGGCAAGTGCCGTATGCATGCACCGAGCAAGGCCCGGCATGGCGCACGAGGTGGTGGTGTGGCTGCCGTTGTTTTCCCAGCGCTGGTGTTTTCACGCACCACCAGTTGATAATTGAAAGCTCGTGAGGCCTTGGGGAGGCCCAGGACCAAGTCAGATATGTTAACCACCGCGGAGAATATTGAACTCCGCTCTCCATATTATTTGCGAGGTGTTGTAATCGCTGCACCTTCCGCTCCTTCAAAAAAAATTATCGACATAAACACACAAGTGAATAGCGCTGAAATGAAGCATAAATTAATTTACTTTATATAAATATGTTAAGAAAAACATCCCCAAAGGGCATGCAAATGATACGCTAATTTATATTAGATTAATTAAAAAAAACTCCTACGAACGAAACTGTACAACTAGATGGAATACCCTAAAACCAATATCAATGAGACGAAAAATGTTTTAATTATGATTGCATTCTTACCAATATCACGGATCATCAGAATGCATCTTCCTTCTCCCTGTAAGCTCTCTTATGAACACAGTAAAACGACTTAAAGCTCAAATCGTGGTCAATTATCGACTCTGTGGGGGGTTGAAGGGGGGCGTGTTGGGGGTATGAATCGTTAGGTTTGCACATCTAAATCCGATCGCCCTGTCCGTCCTTATCCTCGATCACAGTTACCATCGGCCAAGGCGGTACCTTTCACCTCACCACAGCGGGGGGTGCCGAAGCGTTGCAAGGCCTGCAGGCCTTCGCCATCCCATCGTCCGGGACGGGGGGCGCATCCGGGCCGGCCACCATCCTTCAGTATGCGCAGACGTCCGACGGACAGCCTGTGCTGCTGCAGGGAGGACAATTTGTGGTGCAAGGTACAGTGACGCGGTCCTTCGCTGACATTTGTGTGCCTAAATAAGTTCTACTGTATATGTAGGTGTTTGCATTGGTGCTGCCATGTGTGTTTTGGTTCTACCACGCGCTACTTTGGATGATGTGCGACGTTCGCTTCGCGTACTGCCAAAAGCGTCAAGCACGTGGCGCGAAACGTCGGGCATCTTGCCGAACAACTCGCGGTGCAACCTGCAAACAAATCTAAAAGCTAGATGAGTTGTAGTTTTTTTTCCCCTGTAATCAATTCAACCCTAATTCTCGATAGCTAAGTAGAGTTAAGCCTTGAATGAAAGACTGCCTCCGAATACGAGGTGTTGTGTAGGCTTGGTGTGTGATGGCCAGGAGATAGCAATGCAGAGTTTCGATTTAAAGCTTTCGATGACTGCAGGGATTCATATTCTTGGTTCTTTCGGTAAAGTCACGTAGAAGGGAAATAATAAAAATAAAACAATATAAAATTCTCACAAAGCAAGCATCATTGGTGGAATTTTATTATATTATTTTTATTTGTATTATATTAGTATTTCCCTTCTACGTCACTTTACCGAAAGAACCAGGAATAGAAATGCAGAGCTTTGATTGTCGCAGAGCTTTGCGTGTCACACTGTCATATGCGCGAGTGTTCTCCTGGTGGTCCGTTGGCTTCCACATGCTGAGCACTCGGTTGTGGAATTGGCCAAACATTCCACCAATGATGCTTGATAATGATTTCCAGGTTAAGTAAGGTCATTGTAACCAGTTGATTTTTTTGTTCGTTGAGAGGAATTGTTTGTACAGCTCTAATTTAAGCAGCCAGATGGCTCTGTTACAAACTGTTCAACTCCCTATTAGAAGGGTATGGGTTCAAATCCCTGGTTGTGAGTCAGGTTGGCCTATCGTGCCTTGAGGGTTGATAAAATGAGTGTCCAGTGGATGGCCAAATTCCTCAGTAAAACTACAGTTTCCACCACTGGTTCAGGATCATCATAAGGGAATCAAAGTACCGGCCAACACTTGCATGTACACGACATGTTTTCTAAATTTGTAAACAAGTATCTCCAAATGAATCTTTAACACACTACCTTTTATTTTTGTTTGAGTTTTCGTGCAAACCCCTCCTCCCCCATTACAGACCGACGAACATAGATAATGGATAAACACTTTGAACATTGGTTGGAAAGTGTTAAAAGTAGCAAATGTCATGTCAATGGTTGTGGAAACGTGACTTGCCGGCTAACTTCTCAATGCCCACAAAAACCCATCCCTCTGCTCTCACACCCTCTCCTCTCTATCCACCCCCCCTCCCCCACCCTGACCCCTCGCCGGTTGTGGTGATGGTGACCACGACCTGACTCTATTGGCTTTGGCGCTTCGCTGAAAGCTGGGAACCTGCAACAGAACATGGTGGTAGCGTCGCCAGCGAGCTCGCCATCAATTCACGAGGAGCCGGTGACACGCAAGAGAGAGATCCGGCTCATGAAGAACAGGTGTGTGGCACAGGACAGCAGGGGGTTGCAGTGGTGGGTGGGTGGGTGGGTAAATGGGTGTTCCGAGTATGTGGCTGGGTGTAGCACAGGATTGTGTGGTGGGTGGGTGGGTAGAGGAGTGTGCCAGTCGATGGCTGGGTGGCTCAGAAGTCCGAGCACTGAGCGGGCACCGCTGAACATTTGGGTGCGAATCCCGGTTTTGACCATCTGTGGATTAAACCAAGTCCCCAAGTGTTGTGGGTTGATGGTCTTGGCTTGGTTGCCAATGACTGCATGGAATAAAAAAACACTCAACGTTACATTTGGTTCTGAACTTTATTTCACCAAACTATGAGAATTAAACATTGGTTTTCCTGTCATTTTTGTTACACCCTCTATCTTCTGTAAATTATTAAATGTTTTCATGTTTAGATGCTAACATTTTAAATAGTAATTGTATGTAGGTAAGTAAATATGTATTTAGTTGAGTAGGCAGATGATTATTTTAATAATTAGATGGAGCGGTGAGTTTGTAGGTAATGAGATGTACTTTTGAATAAAGTTATTGATGTGCTATACATGGTGGTGTGTGCCTGCAATAGTGCTTGAAAGGCAGGGGTTGGTGAACCGCAGAATGATCCACTTGCCCTGCCGAAAAAGTTTTTTGTAGTTTTAGGTGGGTGGCAGACTTAAGATACTAGCCTGTAGAATCTTTACTGCAACAGCATTGATTCATTCGATATTAGCAACTGACAGTTGTGTATGTACCAACAGTTAGCACACAGGGGGAGTGCATGTGCTGTGTCTGTCAAGTACCCCAGTTTTAACCCTGAGCACATGGTTCTGACCCATGACCTGCCAGCGAGCCTTCGCCATTGTACATCATCTCAAAGTGCACCTAACCTGGCACAAGCACCGTGGAGACGTGACGATCGGTGGCAAACGGCGGTTGCAGTTGTATGTGTACACATCAACAGCTGTCTTTTCAATCCACTGGTGGATGAGGTCTCCCCACGTCACGTGGTCATGGGGGGCTTTTGGACTACATTTATCCATGCTGGGCAGTGCGGGTTGGTGAAGGGGGGGGCGGGTTCAGGACCGGTTCAGCTATCACTCTCCACTGATGTAGATGTGGGAGCATAGACGTACAGTACGGCAATGAATTCTGCTCCATTTGCCTATTGCTGCCCACAACGTAGACCTGCAGTGGTCTACGGCCACCTGGTTAGTGCTTTGTGTTTTTCCATCCAAGAAATATCCAGGCTTGTAGCCTGCTTAGCTTGCTAATCTGACGAGACCGGGCGCATTGCAGGCAATTTGTTCGTTGGTCGTATATGCGTGTGCCGGTGCCGATTTAGTTAACTCAAGCGCCCGCCCCCCCCCCCCTCTGCCTTTGCCATGTGGCACCGCAGGGAGGCAGCGAGGGAGTGCCGGCGGAAAAAAAAGGAGTACGTGAAGTGCCTGGAGAACCGGCTGGCCGTCCTGGAGAACCAGAACAAGACCCTGATCGAGGAGCTCAAGGCCCTCAAGGACCTGTACTGCCACAAGACCGACTAGCAGCAGCAGCAGCAGCATCAGCAGCATGCAGCAACGGGGGGCGCCGCCTGTGCTCAGCCGCGGACCGACCGAGTGCAGGCCGCGCCAACGTTTACCTTTTTACACTGCGTTCTCGTCGTCGTTTTATTTCATTTTTGCATTTTGTCTCCGAAAAATTTTACTCTTAACCTGTCACTTGCTGAGAGGCCAAATCTAAAGGAAGTGGTTTGGGGTGGGGGGGGTCGGGGGAGGTGTGGCGGTGTGGCGACTTTGCCGCACGTGGTCGTGGAGCGTTTGCCGAGCTCCCGCGTGTAACCCAGCGTCCACGGATCGACGACGAGGTGGGGTGGGTGGGGGGGGGGCGGTTGATCCAACCGTGAAGTCGCCTGGCGAACTTGGGGTGTGGGAAGACGGAGACGCCGAGAGAGAGGGACGGGCCGGGGTTGAAGGTGCTCGTACCGAACACTGTGTGTACGTCCCAGGCAAGGCTGATGCACGCCGTGTCTCGGCACCACCTCCACGTTGCGTCTCCCCGGCTTCTCATCCTCAAGCTTTTTTACGGATGGAAGTCGCACGGCCTGCCCCAACGCATTACACATGTACCCTTTGGAACCGCTCCTGCACAACTTTCACTGCTTTTGTCGGCAAGGAAACATGGCGGGGGGAGGGGGAAACCCCATCCATGTGCACATGGCGCGTATATATAACCGTAATGGACGTGCGTGTCCTGGGATGCTGGGTTGGGCTTCAAATGTAGATTCACACCCCCCGCACCTCACCCCTTCTGAGGGCTGGCAGAATTTAGCAGCAGAGGTGCTTCGAGATAAAGGTCATATCTCAAGTTTGGTGTTTAAGCAGAATGTTTAGGGGTCTTTTTTAGGGTTAGGGACTTGGGGATTTAAAGAACGGGAATATAGGACATTGCTCAGAACCACGCATGCCTAAACTAGTTTAGTATCAAACGTCGAAGTGTGGGAGTGGTTGGGAGACTTGCAAGTGGGAATGGGAGGGGTTGGGGGTTACCAATAATTGGCAAAGTGGAGGCCCCAGTGATGATTTGAGCAGGTCCTTTGCAAGCCCTCGGCACCCAGCAACAGCAATTTTAGGTCGCTAAATGCGTGGCTGTGAACCCAGCAAGGGGCTCTATCATTCGAGCTCTGCACGCCACTTTGGGAGTGCAGACCTTTTCGCCCCTTTAGCTCGCGCTCATTTAATCAGGTGTTATTTTTACCATTTCTCAGTCGAGTAATATTACTTCGAATGAAACGTATTGGTTTCACGTGTGGACCTGTTGCCGATTTCATCACGAATGACGTTGCAAGTCGCGCTGCCATTACTAATTCATACTTTATTTTTTCCCCGTATGCTTTTGGTTTAGATGGAGATTTTGTCGCTCGGGCTGTACCTATATTGTTTGAATTATCATTGAATTGTAATATGATTTAAATTGCATTTGAATATCAATCCTAATTGTTAATATTGGGTGGCTTTTTTATTTTCACCCTGGTGGGCCACCTGCCAATGTCACGGACGGCACAGGTGTTTGCGAGGGAGTTTAAACAAGCGTTGTCGTGCTAGGCCCAGATGTTAGTACTTGTAGTAGCTCTGTGATGCAACAAAGATAAATGAACGATGGGGAGGTGATATTAATTTTCCCATGTTTAGAAATCAATTTCCTGAATTATTTCGCTTATAAAACACGAGTGAAAAATACCGATTCACACACTAGTGCTCTCTGGGGTGTGGTGGAGAATTGAGTGTGTGAGGTGGAGTCATTTTACTCATTTGGAAGGAATCGGTGATTCATTCCAATGTATCATTAATTTTTATATCTCCAAGCCTTTTATTAAACGACGAACACTGCTACCAATTGAGTGCATTTCGGTATTTATGCTTGAATTAATGCACACGTAGTGTTTATGTTACCAACACTTACCAATAAACATCGTTGGTGTAACGGTGCAGATAAAAAATTACTTGATTAAGTCAATTATTAGCCAAGGGTGCATATACCATTAGTTATAAGTCGAGGGGAAGCTCTCCCAATTGGTCAAGTGTGTGTACCACCGACTTTTAGTATCAAACTATACTGTCCCAAATGAACGATGCCCAATGGGGAACGATTTAGAGAATTGATTACTAAATACAGGGAAGTTAAGTTTCCGTTCAATGCTTTATTAACATTAAGTCAATAGCAGCCCGTGGTGGCTTAGGGGATCTCCACTTCACTCGGTCTGCACGTTTTTTTGCCTTTTCAGATGTGATCATCGATGGCCGTCTCGTAGTTTAGCGAAGGATAATTTATTCATTGTTGCCACCTCATTACTTACTAAATGTGTGAACACTTTGTAAGTCCTTTAAGTTAGCTCCACAGTACAGTATTGACGAAATAATTTTCGCTTAAAATGAAAACATTCAAACACATGTTACAATTTTCAGATTTTATACATAAAAATGTACGTATAAAAAAATATATACAAAAAAAGAGAATTACAGGCTGGTGCTTTTAATAATTTAGGATTTTAAGAAAATCGCTTGTGCCTTAGTGCTAGATTTTTTGGTTCGGCCAATGTACTAGTTTTTGTACCCCCCCGCAAGCAGCATGATGTGATTAAAATGCATTTAAACAGGAGAGTTGTGCTCCCACCTGTATGGAATTGCATCGTTACAATTGTTGAAGTGCGTTTCTGTAATTAAGTTTTAAGCAACTGAATTAATCTTGGTTCTTTCGGTAAAGTCACGTAGAAGGGAAATAATAAAATACAATTTCTATTTAAAGCTTTCGTGACTGCAGGGATTCATCTTCTTGGTTCTTTCGGTAAAGTCACGTAGAAGGATAATAATAAAATAATACAAATAAAACATAATAAAATAATTCTCACGACGTTTCGGCCACAACGCAAGCAGCCGTCATCAGGTGAAGAACAGGTCTATCGGGAAGACAGCGCTCCAATGAACACTGCTAAGCTTGGCAGCGTATTTAAGCTGGGTGAGAGGAGCATTAAATACGCTGCCAAGCTTCGCAGTGTTCATTGGAGCGCTGTCTTTCCGACAGCTGTTTCTTCACCTGAGGACGGCTGCTTGTGTTGTGGCCGAAACGTCGTGAGAATTGTATGTTATTATGTTTATTTTTATTATTTCCCTTCTACGTGACTTTACCGAAAGAACCAAGAAGATGAATCCCTGCAGTCACGAAAGCTTTAAATCGAAACTGAATTAATGCATATGTTCCTGCAATGCAGTCGCCACTAATTCCATAAATATAAAAAAGTTTAGTGCTGCCCTGCTCACATGACGCCCTGCTCACGTGACGCACTCTTTACAGTCCTTGGCGGGGGGGGGGGTATCTATAGGGCAATCAATGTTGACTTCCCCACAAAATGGTATGAATTTCATCGACCCCGTAGGGACCACAATTTGAACTCGCAACTTTCCAATTGCGAGCCACTCGCTCTACCGCTAAGCCACATCACTCCGGCGCATTACTGGCTGTTATAACATTGGTAAGGCCAAAGGGCATCGGAAGTAATAAAGTGGTTCCGTTACTGATATTTTAAAAACACTTGAAGTTTAGGAGACCTAATGTTTGTGTTTGCAGGCAGGGAATTTTTGTGCAAATGTTTGGTGGCAAAAAGCCACAATTTGTGCCAATTTGACATTTTTTCAGCCACACACGAATCGGGCTCTGCCTTTTTGAAACTCAAGTCCTCACCCTGTCACCATGGCGCAAGTTCATGGTGACCGTCATGTACAAATGTCTTCGGCAAGGACTGCATTTGAACGGAACTTTTGCAAACGTGTAAAAAACACAGGCTGCAGTGGGGCCGGATACACGGCCGTGTTGGAATTACTGCTGTTGGGTGTTCAGTGATTAAGCCACTGCGGGGCAGTGTGGTCTTACGAAACCACCGCGTGTGGGTAGCCGCGTTCACCCGGCAGGAGCATGGGGCGGGGTGTGTGTGTGTGCGCAGGTGTGTTGAAGTCGCCGTCTGTTAAGATTGACTCCCCCCCCCCGTCACCCCATCCCCTGGACGTGCAGTTTTCTCGCACCAGGTAAACGCTGCCTTTATCGCACAGCGCCGCCATCTGCGGTATCGCTTACAAACAAACGCGCCGCTGCCGTGCGTTGAACGGGGGGATCCCGAGAGGGCCGTGGGACAGGAAGGCAAACATTTCGCAAGTGGAATCCACCACCGTGCTAAAAAGGGGGGTTCTGCGGGGGCCCGCTTTCTGTAAACAAAACCCCCTGTTTATGGTCTCCTTGGGAAATGGATTTCAAAATAGCGCCGAAGCCACCACGGGTTGAATTGCAACTTCACTCGCACGGTCCGAGCGCCGTTTCCCCTCGGGCGACCGGCTGGTGGCAATAACGCGCCGCGGCAAGATGAACACGGAGATGCCCAGCGCACGATGCAAACGGCGTTTGTGCCAACCGCGTTACATGGGAGTTGGACATGTGATTTATGAAAACGTCTTGTGATTATTTTTTCACAAGTTAAATATTGGCGAATGCAAACGAGCCCTACATGAACTAAGATTTGCTTGTGCAAGATTGATTTTACGTGCCGCATTTTCTAAAGCTTGTTTCTATAAAAAAAAAAGTTTATCCAGCAGTGTTGTCTTAACATGTCATCGGGTTGATTATTAACAATGGCTTTAATGCACCACGTAAGCGGGAATTACACGCGGAACGTTTGCACAGCTAACTTGGGTGTTGCACATGAACCCTTCCTCAACGTGGCTCGGTGTTGAGTCTAAAGTCCAGAAACAAATTCCACACCAATCCAGCAAAAGCGCCCACGAACTTTTTCCCTCACTCCAAAATGCTGTTGGGCCAAGTCTCATTCCAATGCTTAAACCACTTTTATTTGAGATTCAACACGAATGATAGAATTGAGCCTCTTCCACAGCAAGAAACCCCCGACAACGCGACCAATAGAGATCCGTACAAACATGTTCATTACATCTATTTTCCATTTTGAGCGTTATCGTGTTTTTTTATTTTTCTTCTCCAGGTGTCGTGAGGCAGGTTGAATAGTCCAGGGTGTTGCAAAAACATGGACCCAGTTTCAAAGCAGTATATTTCACGATGGCAACATGTTACAATTATACAAAAAGTTACAAACGATTTAATGAGTTATCAAGTTTTACTAACCATTTTATAAATGCTCTGTGTGCCCTCCACCTGCTGTACGGACAACATCGAGACGATCGTTGAATTCGTCCCAAACGCCTCTCCAAGTGTCTTCTTCTACTGAAGTCACCGCTGCCGTGATTCTGTTTTTTAGGTCATCCAGATTAGTCGCTAATGGTGGCACAACAACGCGGTCTTTGACGTATCCCCACAAGAAAAAGTCGCAGGGTGTGATGTCTGGGGATCTTGGGGGCCAAGAGTGTAGCGCCAAGTCTTGGGGTCCCGTGCGACCTATCCAACGATGCGGCAGTGTGTCTTGCGAATGACTGAGGCTAGAGGCTGTTTGTGCGCTGGGAGAGACATCAAACTGTAATCATTTGAAACTATGCCCCGCCCTTTCAAGTGGTAAGAGTTTCATTCATGGGCGGTTTGTGGTTGCAAAGATGTAGCGATTTCAAATCGGGTTCAATCCTTTTCAAACACCCTGTATACACAAGTGTATTTTTCCACTGCCATTTAAATCGCTACATGATCGGGGGGGGGGGGGGGGTGCGGGGGAAACTCACGAGATGTTTAAGCAACCAGCCCATTGCTTTCCCTCTGATGTGCAAATTACTCCTTTAACAATAACGGCTAACACATCATATTGACGTATTAAATGTAAGTGGGCTTGGGCAGGGACACGTCTCTCGAAGGGATAATGGTCGGTGGTCGATACGAACAATGGAGTGGCAGCTACGGGAGGGAACCCACCGGGCAGGAAGTACACTATTGACCGGGATACAGCATTGACACAGGTGTGAAGGTGATGTCAACATGATTGATTCATTTTTGTTATATTATTGTCCACCGCGGTGACGGGGCGATGAAATCGGCTCTTGTGCAGGTGTTCGGTGGATTTTTGCATCAAAGGATCGTGAGAGATTGTGGTGGCTTGGGCAAGACCTTAATCGAGTTTTGATCGTGGCTGATGACGATCAACAACGCAGGACTCCTCCAGAATGAGTGTCTTTTGAGACTCCTTGTGACCGTCTGTACGTGGGGCTGCCTTGCTTGGCATCTTAGGCAGACGGACGCTCACAGCTCTCCGGAGGGAGAAGGCCGCCTGCTCGCGCGCAGAATGTGGATGTCGCGCTCGCTGCAGTGGTGCACGCGCTCCACCACAAAGGAGCCTGCCAGCATCTCCAGGAAGTCCTCGTCCCGCTGGTACCGGATCCGGCACGCCAGAAGCACCAGCGTCTCCGTGCCTGGGGGGGGGGGGGGGCATGGGTGCAATCGAGACGAGTCGCAGGCGCAACGACGCTTTCCGCTACTGTTGTGCTTGCGTTTTACGACTGCTGAACGGTGTGTGACCTTTAGCACCGCTGATGTGCGTGCATGCCCAACGTTGACGCTAAAAATAAGCAACGCAGCAGAGGTGGCAGAGTTCGTACAGAGCGCTGAACCAGCACTGCTGATATACTGGGTTAAAATCTGTGTTTTAGCCACCTATGCTTGAACTATATTGTCAAGTAAAAGCATTTAATGGTCGCAGCCTGTACACGAATAACAGCGCGAAGAAAAATAGATTGTTTTTCACATTTCAGCATTCCAGCCATGAGAAAAACTCCAAATTAGCATGTGATGAACACTTAGCAGGATGTTTAGTCTGTGTATCCTCAGTATGGATAAAGCGGTGCTCCTGTTGTGATCGTAGTCCTGTGGCAACAAGCTAATGGTGGAATGGCCAATCGGGAGCGTGTTTGAGCCCAGTGGCTGCCTTGGTTCATATTCTGGTTTCAACGACAGAAAACCTACCCACCGTCTGCTTCACAGTGGACGTTAAAGGTTCCTGCGGTTATTCAAAAAGGAGTAGGCCATGCGGGCCGGTGTCATTGTCCAAATTTACCAAATTTACCAAATTAGAAAATGACAAGTTGCCTTATTGGGTACAGCCACATAGCAACTACCATGGACTATAATCGTGAGTGAAACATTGCGCCGATGTGATAGCATTGTGCTATCACAAGAATGGCACAAACATCAAGGACACGAATACATTGATCTGAAAGGGCGGGGCTTGCAGAGGTTGTGGGTCATGCGCGCATGCCAGAGGTCGCAACCGGGTACCCGATACCCGTACCCTACCCGATACCCGGCTACCCGTACCCGGCCGAGTATGGGTATCCGTTTGCGACCCTGGTGCGGCCGGGTACGGGTACGGGTAGGCCGTGAGTCACTGGTGAGTAACTGTTTGTCACTCATTTCCCAACGTCTTGTCTCTTCTCACAATTTAAGTTCCTAGAATCAACCCACCCACGCCTGCAACATGGCTTCATCCCAGAGGTCGCAATCAGGTACCTGATACCCGTACCCTACCCTACCCGTACCCGGCCGGGTACGGGTACCCGTTTGTGACCCTGGTGCGTGCACACCCACACAGGTGCACGTGTGCCCATTGTGCGCTCTCCGCCTCACCGTGGGGACAAAGGTGGCGCAGCGTCGCGAGCAGTGCCGGGAAGGTGTCCCGCACGTACACAATGTCGGCACCCAGCACGAGCTCGTGCTCGCCCGGGGCCCAGGCGCCGAGGCCCTCGCCCCACGAGAGCTCCCGCACGGCCACGCGACTCCGCTCGCCCGCGCCCAGGTTGGCGTCCACGTTCTCCTGGATGAAGCCCAGCACGGGCGCACGGTCCGTGATGCTCACCGACGATGCTCCTTGGTCGGTGGAGGCGGCAAGGGAGCATGAAGATGAAACAACTGAAAAGTACGGCGTAGGCTTTTTTTTTGCCGTGGTGTTGTAGAGCTCTCCCATGTTGGGCCGGTCTTCACAACGGGCAACGCGCGACACAGCCCCAAAAACATCGGAGAGCTGTACACTGACAGCTGTTTCAGTTGCAGAAATCCCAATTTCTGTACCACTGGATGGGGTCAGACTGCTGTGTCAGCACCTAAGTACAGGAATGAAAATCTGGGTTTTAGCTACACAACCGATGATTTAACTGGTTCTCAGGTGTGAGTGTTGATGGTCTAAGTCAGGTCATCAATGACTGTACAAAAAATGATAACAGGGTCCTGCTTAGAAAGTTTGGTTAGCTTTTTAAAAATGTTTTGAGTGGGAGAACAGCCGGACTGTCCAGAGAAAACCAACCCATATATAAGTACGAGCACTAATGTAACAATATTGTTATAGCCGGTCATGCTTGTCGTCGGCAAACAAAGCTTTTATGAGTGTGTGGTCTAGGCTAAGGGACTTAAAGCCACTGTGCACCACACGTGACTGCTTTACAAGGGACAATCGTGCTCATTGGTATCTATGGCAGACCAAGAGGTTGCTGTGGGTTTTATTCCATCACACAAAGCCTCATGCCATCATTTATAAAAAACACTTCATAATATGCATCACCTTCATTATTCTCTGGAACGCAAGAGCTTATTGATCCAATCGGTCTTGTTTGCAAGGGGGACATCATTAATCAGAATTTTAATGGCACCAACATGAGAGCTCCAATAGAAAGCCGCTGTGGATGGGTTGTTGGCGGTGGTCATGGTGCTAATTGAGAGCCACGGGCACCTGAGCCCTACCGAGAAGCGCCGCTACAATTCCCACCAGCCCCGTTCCAGCACCCAGCTCCAGGACACGTTTTCCCTTCACCTCCACCGCGCCGAGCTCAAGGTACGTGGCCAGAACCACAGCCTGTAGTGACATACGGACAGCAAACACCACCACCGATTGCATATTGGCAGGAAGGAAATACAACAATTAAAAAAACGAGAACTTGCTTTGGGGGAATGGGGGCCACCACTCACGGCAGTCCCAGACCACGGCAGCCACGCCAAGCCTGCCCCAGTCCTGCCGCAGGGAGACGTCTCGTCCCGCGAATCTCAGCGCCATCGACGGCTCGTGGAAACGGCGAAGGACCGGGGGAATTGCGTCCTCGTACACCACCAACGCCATCGTCCCGCAAAGAGCAGCTACACGGAGCCAAGCGAGCCTTTTACAAGACGGCGCTGCCACTTCAGGGCTGGTGACAGCAGAGACAAATGCCAAAACAACGATTAGTACATTCAATCTCGATTTGAAGCTTTCGTGACTGCAGGAATCCATACATTATTTTATGTTATACCTACGTGACTTTACCGAAAGAACCAAAGCGAATGGATTAATACATTCCCTAAGACTGTTTTCAACAGAATTCTCTAGTAGGATGTTTAGTCAATACAGTACATTGCAACAAAAAAAGTCGGTTTGGAGCCTATACGCTGTTACTACCTCCAGACCCGAGCAGTAGAGACCGCAAGAGACATCCACAAACCCCGAGGCACAGTGACGTCCCCCAGATAGATCATGTGTGCACCATTGGTCCTACCTCCTGGTGGCTGTATTACAGGTGTGTGTGTGTGTGGCACACAAGTCAGGTGTGATGCATTATCACGTAAAGAATGTCAAATATCTCGTGTTTGGAAAGCTCCAGAGTTGATGAATGATAACTAAACCAACCCACGACTGCGGCTGTTTCCACATCCTTTACATTACAGGTACCGGGCCGCACAGCAGGTGAGAGTGGTGAATCCGCGCGTGGCCCGCCCAAGGGAGGTACAGTCGGGTTTTTTACAATCGGGTTTAATTGTCTTTTTATATTAAACCCGATCATCTGAGATTGGGATAAATCCGGTTTAATTGGTTCTAATTGCAGAACCGCAACTTCGCCAACTTCTCAACAATGGGCTTCATCCATTCCAAGCTAAGGAACTCACTGGCGCCCACGATTGTGGAGGAGAAGCTCGTGTTCATCAAGACCAACCTGCCCGCCGCATTCTACGACTACCCCGTGCCCGACGGCCCCCCCGAGTACGATAGCAGCACCGACGAGGAAGCAGCCTAGGCCTTGGATCAGAGTTTCGTATTCATTAAACCAGGTTGTAATTCCCCGAAATCGGGTTTAATTGTATTAAAGAAAAAACCCGATGCCTGCCGCTGAAAATCAGTTTTTTTTCCACCCATGGGCTCACCCCCATTGTTTTATTATTGACCATTTACATCCGCGCCGCTTTCCCGCACTGCGCACTTGTCTCAGTCACAGTGTTGGTCAGCCCACAAGCTGCTAACACCTAGCCAGAATGAGTAAAAAACAAACGTGGCTGGAGAGCTTCTTTGAAAAGGGAGACAGACCCAATGATGAACTCCCCGCCCCCCGGTCCGTGAAAAAAATTGTCTTTCACGAAACCGGTCCCTGGTGCCAAAAAGGTTTGGGACCGCTGCAAGTTGACAAGACGTTCACACTGGCAAGGGCTCCTCCACCTGCAGGAAATGGAAACAATCTCCTTGATTAAGTAGAGACGCAAGGAATGAGCGATTCCCAAACAATGGGAGTGTTTCCTCCCCACCAACACCACCAAACCAGTTATGTAACAGCATGATGGTCAGAGGATGTCCAATCAGCAATGGTTTAATTAAACTTGTGAATGGAACGGGTTGTTTTGGGTCTCGCCGCTGAAAATGGCCACCATGGCTTCACCAGTTTTGGCGAAAAAGAAGAGTCTGCATTTACAAGATAGGACGCGAAAAAACTAAATAATTTGCTGTTAAGCCACTACATGAATCACTCTGTCACTGTTAAGACTTTTGAATTGTTCGGACTTAAATTGCAACTTTCAGTGGTTTTGATTCTTTGTAACCGGATTACTGCTTCAAAGCGTACACGTGAATGCAGGGTGATCCATTTATAGCTACCGCAATAAAATTACAGAATTCATAGAGAAAGCGGCATTCTCATTCCAAGCTTAAATAAGTCTTCTAACATTCTTTATACACTTAGTACACGTCTTTAAACTCTCCTGGTACACTTTGCCCAGCATAGCCACTACGATTTGCTTGCATAAATCGATAATATATAAGCCGAGGTCACTGATGTGTCAGTGGGACATCTATAAATGGATCATTCGGTATATTTCGGACGTACGTTGGGACCTGTCGTTAATTCATCATTATCAGCGATAAATCCACTGCTGGATGAATGCATGTGTGCAAGCCGTCATTTTTTCACAAGGTCCCGCGCAATATTACAATACACCTGGCACCCTGCACACAAGCCGATTTCATTGCTCCATCTCTGCAGCAGACGTTTACTGATTTGTGAACTGTGCACGAATACATCTAATGACTGTGATACTGATTATTACATTGCCCGGTCCTCGCAGAGGCGAGCAAATTAACTCTGTTTAACACGGAGGCTTTCGCAAATCCACAATATTTACAATCTGGACGTTTCGGCAGTAATTACAACTAGCATTATCAGGCAGACAACCAGATTTGTGTATATTTACGCGATCTAACCCAAACTAACCTATATTATGGCAAAATAAACTCTGCTTTAATGGTGCGAAGTGTGCGCGTATGAAACACAATGCAGATGTATTTAGATGCAGAGGAAATCCAATTGTCGATTGTACATCATCATCATGGTGTGTTGCTGCTCACAACTTAACTCTGGGCTGCAGGTCGCGGCGACCGAACCTCATCCGTAGGCTCCGGGTTAGCAGAGCCACCCACAACCACCCACCACAACCACCCACCACAACCACCACAACCACCCACCCAACACCACCATCCACCACCCAACACCACCCATCCACCACCCAACACCACCCATCCACCCACCACCATCCATCCACCCACCACCATCCATCCACCACCACCACCCACCACCCCCCCCACCACCACCCCCCCCACCACCACCACCCCCCCCACCACCACCACCCCCCCCCACCACCACCCCCCCCCCACCACCACCCCCCCCCCACCACCACCCCCCCCCACCACCACCACCCCCCCACCACCACCACCCCCCCACCACCACCACCCCCCCCCACCACCACCACCCCCCCCCCACCACCACCACCCCCCCCCACCACCACCACTCCCCCCCACCACCACCACTCCCCCCCCACCACCACCACCCCCCCCCACCACCACCACCCCCCCACCACCACCCCCCCCACCACCCACCACCACCACCCACCACCCACCACTCCCCCTCCCCACCACTCCACCACCACCACAACCCCCACCACCACCACCACCCCCCCCCACCACCACCACCCCCCACCACCACCACCCCCCCACCACCACCACCACCCCCCACCACCACCACCACCCCCCCACCACCACCACCACCCCCCACCACCACCACCACCACCCCCCCCACCACCACCACCACCCCCCACCACCACCACCACCACCACCCCCCACCACCACCACCACCCCCCACCACCACCACCCCCCACCACCCCCCACCACCACCACCCCCCACCACCACCCCCCACCACCCCCCACCACCACCCCCCACCACCACCCCCCACCACCACCCCCCACCACCCCCCCACCACCACCCCCCACCACCACCACCCCCCACCACCCCCCACCACCACCACCCCCCACCACCCCCCACCACCACCACCCCCACCACCCCCCCACCACCACCACCCCCCACCACCACCCACCACCCCCCACCACCACCCACCACCCCCACCACCCCACCACCCCACCACCCCACCACCACCCCTCACACCACCACCACCCCCCCTCACCACCACCACCCACCCCCCCCTCACCACCACCACCCCCCCCCCTCACCACCACCACCACCCCCCCCCCTCACCACCACCACCCCCCCCCCCTCACCACCACCACCCCCCCCCCTCCACCACCACCCCTCACCACCACCACCCCCCCCCCTCACCACCACCACCCCCCCCCCTCACCACATCACCCCCCCCCCTCACCACCACCACCACCCCCCCCTCACCACCACCACCCCCCCCCCCTCACCACCACCACCCCCCCCCCCTCACCACCACCACCCCCCCCCCTCACCACCACCACCCCCCCCCCTCACCACCACCACCCCCCCCCCCTCACCACCACCACCCCCCCCCTCACCACCACCACCCCACCCCCCCTCACCACCACCACCCCCCCTCACCACCACCACCCCCCCCCCTCACCACCACCACCCCCCCCTCACCACCACCACCCCCCCCCCTCACCACCACCACCCCCCCCCCTCACCACCACCACCCCCCCCCCTCACCACCACCACCCCCCCCCCTCACCACCACCACCCCCCCCCCTCACCACCACCACCCCCCCCCCCTCACCACCACCCACCACCCCCCCCCCTCACCACCACCCCCCCCTCACCACCACCACCCCCCCCCCTCACCACCACCACCCCCCCCCCCTCACCACCACCACCACCCCCCCCCTCACCACCACCACCACCCCCCCCTCACCACCACCACCCCCCCCCTCACCACCACCACCCCCCCCTCACCACCACCACCCCCCCCTCACCACCACCACCCCCCTTCACCACCAGCACCCCCCCTCACCACCACCCACCACCCACCATCACCTACCACTACCGGTCTCGTTACAAAAAATCCACGATCATCGCAGCCCGAGTGCGAATGCGCCTCGAGGTGGGCTGCGCGCCTCTCTGCGCTAAACCGGTTTCCGTGCCCCTCCCAGACAAGCGGCGGCTTGCAAAACCGAGGGCGCGCGCAGTTTGCCAAACAACGACATTATCCATGTTGTTTTTTGTTTGTTTAGATCGCATAAATATGAATGTGGCGTTAAACCGGCCAACCAACCGACACAGCCAACTCAGTAAGGTTTGTCACATAAACAGAACGTGCCAATTCGTTACGAGTGCAGCACACGGCGGTGTGTTGGAGAGCAAATCCACAACATTTACAGTCCGAGTACGACGTTACAACCGGCATCATCAGGCGGTGAGTTTGGCAGTGGTGGTGGCAACGATTGCGTGCGACGGGCAGACTCATGATGCCCAGAATGGGCTAACTACTGGACGTCTGTGGAAGAAAAACTGCATTTTATCTCGTCGGATTCCTCCAGCAAAAATACATATTCTGATAACTAACGTTGGTAGGGGTTTTTTTTTTTTAAGTGAAGCCGAGTTATGGTTTTTAATTCAGTTGAATCCAACCTTCTTTGATTTAAACATCGGAATAGTTGATATTATTTATGGGATTTCCCATTCAGATGTTGTACTCACTGAATGCAGTACACCCAAGTAACGAGGTAGTAAACCTTTATAACCAGGTAAAAGCCCATTGATACCATTCACTATTTTTAATTGGAGACCCAGCTTTGCATAAGTACACCGACAATGACAGATTCTACGTGTCTAAACAAAAACAGGTTTTACCATATAAATTCTAGCCAGAACATGTTTTTTCGTCCAGAGTTTTTCGTGGGGGTATACTTATAGATGTAAAACATGTCAATGCATTGCTTAGCTGAGCCGTCCTATTCAAGGGGATTACTCTTTTTTTCCTCCCCTTTAAAACAATCTTGCAGAGTCCAATTAGGACGAGGGGTTTGGCCAATGTCATCGTTGTCAAAACATGCTGATACCTAAATTATAATAGTGGTGGGGCGAGTGGCCAAGGCGCCATGTCTGGATAATTTTTAAAAAATGTATATCTGGAACTGGGTTTTTTTAAATTGTTTAAGCCAAAAGGCGTTTTGTTGTTTTATTAGTTCAACACCCAACCGAGACGGAGAAACTGGACAAATGGGGGCTCGCACAGAAATACGCCATGGTGAGAGGGTTTATGTGTTGCCAATGGTCGTGATAGCCGATGGATGTTGCCCTCATTAAATATAGGTATTTCCACTTTATTACGTAACATTGTATTCGTTTGAGAGCTTGCAATGCAGTCGTTGACCAATGCACACATTTCACTGTTAATGATCAGCCTGAGAGTAATTGTGGCCATAGCGTTCCAGGCTTAACCTCAAGGTCTGCAAATTCAAATACCAGAAAAGGTTCAGCTCTGCCCATCAGCCTGCGGTTGATAAAATCAGTACCACTTCATGAGAATTCAATAGTATTTGTTCTTTGGATGTACTCAGCCCTACAACATATTTTGCAATTTCCACTAATGACTTGTGGATGTTGTGGACATCTATCGAATAATGGGTTTATAAAATAAAATCGATTATTGGTCACAAGGCATGCGTTGAGCTCTTCGACTCGTATACAATACGCGGCGTTAGATTCAAGGCAACGGTGTAGCTACCACAGGAATATCCGATACCACATGCCTCACAATGCCAAGCGGATTCTATTGAATACAAATCGAATGAAAAGCGTGCGCTAGATTTGAACAGATGAACCTTATGGCGGTATCTCGGGGTCATCTTTAGTCTGTTGATGGTCGGCAATCGACTCATCTCGACGAGCTGTACACGATGCACTATTCAAAGTTGAAAGTCTCCTGTACAACTGTGAAATGATGGGTGCTTCATCAGCCAGGGAGCTAAGGCAGAACCAGTGGGATATGGGGTTTTAATCTCGGTTACAGCCACTTGTAATTTAACTGGGTTCTCAAGTGAATTTGATGGTCTAAGCCCAGTCACCGATGACTATGCATTAAAGATTGCAGGTAAAATGTTACATTTCATTTGGCTGATCTGTCATGGCTGCACACACACCAATACACAAAACACATTAATTTGATTTTCACTTACTTTGGCTATATTCCAGTATGGAAAGCTTAAACATCTCGTTTGACTTTCATGGGGAAAACTCATCGCATGGTGCAACGGAGAGTTGGACCACGAGTTTGAGACATCTTGCATAAAATAAAGACTTCCAAATGTCTTCTTCGTCTCATCATATGGCGCTACAACTTTGAAATGCATTGGACAGAGCAAAAGCTCCTTTTTGAAATCCTTTATATTAAGTTCACTTGCTTGCTTGCGCGCTTACGACCGTGCAAATCTTTCGGTCGTTTTTTAACCCACTTCCCGTGATCCAATCGAGCTGACATTTTGCACACAGACTCGTTGTGCGTGACAATTAATTTTCGTTAAAAGTTTTTTCCAAAATGTTACACTGTTTAAGGAATTTAAAAAATATATATTTAATTACTAATTGCTTAATGGTGGCAGACAATCATCTGACCCATAGGTGGCAGCCATCTCAAGCCAGAGGACGAGTGGACTCTAGCCGCCACGCATATAAAGGATTTATAGTGAAAAACTGTTTTTACGGGTAAATTTTTATCCGTTTCAAATCACGCACAGTTGATGGCAAACAGGCAGCGTGCCTCGCTCATCTTTTAAAGGGCATTTAGCGACGCTCTTACAACACGGCATCCCACAGTACACCCGAACAAAATCGCTACCCTCAGGGGGTGTAATGATTCAACTCTACCCCGCCACCCTCCACTCCCCGAAAAAAAAGTGTCCCAGAAATAAAATCTTTAATTTCCTCGCCAGATTTAGTATTATTTGGTAGCCCGGGGTGCCTGCCATAAGGATCAAATCGCCTATCGTGGAATGGGTGAATTAATTCTAGATTTGAAGCTTTCGTGACTGCAAGGATTAATACTCATAGGTTTTTCGGTAAAGTCACGTAGGTAAAAAAATTAAAATAATAATAGAAATAAAATAATAAGTCACGACGTTTCGGAGGCAACACGAAGTCTCCGTCATCAGGTGGGACCATCACAGCTAGATTTACTCTCTCTTTACGGTCGCACCTTAGAATAAGTATAACCCGTAAAACAAAGTTTTTCACTCTAAATCCTTTATATGCGTGGCGGCTAGAGTCCTCTCGTCCTCTGGCTTGAGATGGCTGCCACCTATGGGTCAGATGATTGTCTGCCAGTATTAAGCAATTGGTAATTAAATATTTAATTTGTTTTCCCTAAACAGTGTAAAATTTTGGAAAAAATTTTTCACGAACATTGTCTCGCACAACGAGTCTGTGTGCAAAATGTCAGCTCGATTGGATCACGGGAAGTGGGTTAAAAAACGACCGAAAGGTTTGCACGGTCGTAAGCAAGCAAGCAAGCAAACTAAATATAAAGGATTTAAAAAAACCTAAGAGTATGAATGGGTGAATTGTTACATGCCTAGGGTAGGGGTTAATACTTGCTAGGGTAGGGAATCATTATTTATTCATTCGCTTTCCCCTTGCAAATCTTACGAATAGTCACGATTCTAAACCGCGGTTTGATTCAGGATTTTTTTTTTTACCATTTCGATTAATTTATCGAACTCGAGGCTGCTTCGGTTATTTCAACCAATTGTCTACTGTACAGTCTATCGAATCTAAATATTCCCACTCACACAAAACGAGACGCTTAAGGAACATTGCTAAGTCGACACAAGCCCCAGCCGTCACATATTGTGCCCCTTGGTGGTCGAGCGGTCCACCCGGCATCAGCCACGGACCCACAACACAGGGTTGATAAAACGAGGTACCACTTTGTGAAATCTCGTGCTCGTCACACGCGCGAAATAAACCAGCACCCGCCATGCGAATGTGGAATTCCCTCCACTGGTCAAGAGGACTGGGGCTTCTGTGCCTTACGCACTGTACGTACAGTAAGGTACAGTAACCACGGCGTACTGTACTACAGTAAGGCCGTACAGTCAGCCCGGAAGCTCCGGTTGAATTAAAACGACGGTGGGGGGGGTGGGATGGTTGTGTGTTTCTTCTCGCAATGAGACTTCTGTGTTCCCCTATCACAACGTCGCGTCGCCCCGTTCCATCAAAACGCTGAACAGACTTCACCCACCGTGCAAAAGCGGACGCGCACGCTTTTATGCTAAAATAAAAACCCCAGTACGGATACGCGGCGCGAGCCAATGACTGCGCTCGCCTCGCCTAAACGCGGTGGGAAATGCAACCGCGAGTTCGTGAGCCGCCATCTCATTGGCTCGTCGCGACAAGCCCCGCCCTGCCCCCCCCCCCGCCGGCCCTTTGCATGTCCCTAGGCGGTCGTTGATTGGACGATTTACGTGAATAAATTATGATAATGAGGCGTTATAATGACACGTGGCTGTAGGTGTTGAATGGAGCTGGTGGGTAAATGATGAGAGTGATGGCTGTCTTTATAGAGCTGCCCGCTTCTCTCTCCTTTCACGGGGGCATCGGTTCGATTACCTGCCACGGCTCACGTCAGTGGCGGGTGGTGTTTGACCCGGTCCTGGGTATCCGCATGTACCTCGCCTGGTATGCAGTTTTCAGTTTCATTTATTTGGTATAGTCCCGTGAGCCATTCGGCTCTTGAATCGGGTGCAACCGCAAACAAACACAAAACAAAAAACATGAACAAGAAAACATCTTAAAGTGACTATGCGCAAACAGAAAAATCCAGGAAAAAACAGCAACATCTTCCAGGAGGTCGTGGGTTCGATCCGGACCCTGATCCCTGCTGTTTATTTGGAGTTTGAGTGTCTCTCTCTCTCATCATCATCACAGTGGCTGTGAGATGTTAACTACCTCGCATGGTATACAGGAGGTCGTGGCGTTCGATCCCGACCCTGACGCCTGCTGCTCTATATTTAGAGTTTGCGTGTTTCTCCCGTGTATATTTCTCCGGGTCATCCGGTTTTCCTCTCCACATTTAGGGTATTTGGCTGATATAGATTTCCAATTGATAAGTCACTAAGTTGGGCTATCATTTTAGGCCAGGTTGCTTCTGAAAAAGCTATTTATAGCTCAGTGGGCCTCACCTGGTAAAATGTAAATAGCTTAGTTATTTCAGTTTAGTGTCAATCCAACAATTGTGGTCAAAACCCGCCAATGAGGAGGCTTTTCACCTGCTCACCTGTAGTGTTAAGACTTTGCAAACAGTTTCGTGGAGGGGAAGCGTACGTACATTTAAGAGTTCAGAATGTAACGTGGCAAGAAAGGTGCTTTAGACATCAGTAGTAAGAAGAGGCGTTAATGAGTGAGACGCTTGTGCAG